GTCACGCGGACCACACGCGCGCCGGCCGAGCCGGGCCGGCGGTCACGCGGCGGCCCCAGACGTCATTAATCAGGCCCGGTGTCGATTGCAGCGAGCCCTGACCCGGGCCGCCGGCGGCGTCCGGCCGAGGCACGAGCGCGCCGCCGACGGGGCCGGCAGCAGTGACGCGCCCAGGCTGTGGCGCCGGGGCGGCTCCAGCGCCGGCCTGACCGCAGGCTGACCTCTGACTGGACCTCCGACCGCGACCGCCGACCATTGGGGACAATGCGTGCTGGGTCGGTTTTCTGGCTGAGGTTTCGTTGAGAGTGTGTCTGGTGTGGAGCTGCTTGTGTGGAAGGTAAGCTGGCTTCCTTGGTGTCGCTCCCGCTATGGCTCTAGGCGCGCCTCTGACGGCGGTGCTGGACTGTGTTGCATGATGCTCGAGTGGTCAACATCATGGCCTGAAGGTCACCATCAATTGGCCGTATGCAAGTCTTTATTGGCCACTCCGAAGCCATAAACAGTCCGAATCCCCACTACGTCTTTTCTCGTCCGCATATGGTGGTCGGCGCCGGTGCAACGCCGGTGCCACATGGTCGCCTTCTTCGTCTCGGTCCCCCCCCCCCCGCGCGCCCCTCCCATGCGACCGGCCGCCAGAGCTGCACCGCTTTCTCCTCTGTGACGCGGTGCGGTGACGGAGGCCACGGGTGGAGCGCGCGCCGGCTCGGGGCTCGTTCGACCCGCGCCCGTCGCCGCCCGTCGGCCGCGCACGGCGTCCGGTCCGCTGGCGCCGCCGCCGCCGCCGCTGCCGCTGCCGTGTCGTGGTCGTGGCCGCAGCCGCTACTCCGGCATGGCCATGTCCGCGGCCGTGTCCGCTGCCGGTGTCCGCTGTCGGTGTCCGGTCCTGTGACCGCTGCCAATGTCCTCTCCTGTGCCCACTGCCGGTGTCTGGTCCTGTGTCCGCTCCCCGTGTCTTGTCCTGTGTCCGCTCCTGTGTCCGCTGTCACCCCGTCGCGTGCCAGACGTAAGGCGGTAGCTGTAAACCCAAGTAAATAGTCTGGCGGGAAGCTGTTTTGGGTCGGTGCTAAAAATGGTGCCGGCTGTACGAGTCGTTCAGCGCGAGATGCTATTTCTGGCGGGGTCGGCCAGAATAGTTGCAATGGCAGGCGCGGCGGGGTTTGAATATGGATGTGTATGCTCCACGACCGTCGTGATAGCACATCGGCCGGTCCGCGACATCCGCAAAGGCCCGGTGGACCAGTTTCTAGATCCGCCTGAATCACAGGAACTCGTCGAAAGAATTAGAGCCGCGTCACGTGGGCCAGTCCCGGATGCTCGACGAGACTGCGCCCGGTAGACGCGGAGCGACCCGGTTTGCCGGCCAGCGCATGACACGGGGCTTGCGGCGCGCGGCTGGCCTGCGCAGAGCCTGCTTGGCCCCTACGTGGCGTGTGACGCACGTGTCGTTAGGCTGACTGGGACGCGCGCGGCGTCACGCGTGGTGGCGCTTGCACGGAGATGACGTCATCGCGCGACTCGTGTTCCTACCTGTCAGCCCGGCTGCTGGGCCGGCCGGCCGGCCGGCGCTATCTTGGCTCCGCCCCTCCCTCCCAGACGTGCGCCTCTGGACTGCTGCCATCCAGCCACCCACTCGCCGCGGCCGCCGCCGCCGTCGCCGCCATTCGGTTGGCTGGATGGGCACGTGCCTCACTGCCCATTGGTTACGCAAGGGTCTGCAATCAGTGCTGGTGACCTGCATTCAGCGCTGCGCAGCCGAGGTGCCCCGCTGAAAAACGCGTGTTGCTATTAGCTCCGCGCAACGGAGGTACACCTGCGAGTGGGGCGCGTGCTGTCATTATTTCTCCGCAGTGAAGGTGCGTGAGTCAATTGGGCACGTGTAGTGAGTAGCTGTTTTTCTGCCGTCTTCGAAGCGGGTAATGAAAAGAAAGTGGGCCGGCTTCCTCCGTGGCGGATGTGTATTATATGATCAGACGCGTGCAACGACAGCGTCTTCGCGACGGAGGCGTACCAATTTGCGCAGAATCCTCCCGCTCCGCAGTGCCCCCCAGGGCAGTGCTGGTGCGCCCCGCCTTTCCCGCGCCTGCAATTTCTCCCATGTATGACACGGCATGCCGCTATGCGAGCGACGTTTTACTTCTGTGAGAAAATGTCGCGCGGCGCGCCCACGGCGGTGGCTTCCGCGCCGCCGCCGTTACACCGCAGCGCCGCCGCGCCGCCGGAGTCGGCCATGGACAGGGGGGACGCGGGGGCGCGACGGGCTGGCGCGTCCACTAGCCCCCGCACCGGATCTGGCCGGGCATTTAACCGGCCCGGCCGCGGAAGTCTGGGGGAAACTCGACCGCTATTAGTCGCTTCCTGCATGTGGACCGGGTTGGGGCGGCGGGAGCGGCGGGGGCGGCGGGGGCGCAAGCGAGAGCGGCAGCCGCCGCCGGCTGTGATCGGTCACAGGGGCGCAGCTGGCCGGCCGCCGCCCGCCGCCCGCCGCCCGCCGCCGGGCGTGTTTTGGCCAGACCCGAAATACCCGGCGGGGTGGAGATCGCGTCTGGCCTTGGCCAAGCCCTCCGCCAGCCGGCGCGGAGTCGGAGCTGAGGGGAGCCGTCCGCGCGGAGGCGGGAGCCGTCCGCGCGGACAGCGCGTTGTCCTCACGGAGTGTAGCCGTTCGCAGCCAGCAAACAGCTGGAGCTTGAGCTGGAGAGGGCTGCAGAGACCGTGCAACACGCAGCAGCTGAAGCTTGAAGGGTGCGGCACCCACGACACTGCCACTGTAGACAGGTGTTTCTGGCGGTGATCGCTTTGTCGGCCGTTTGCGGGGGTGTCGTGTGCAACAACTCTGCGACCTTCGAATCAACACGGGTCAGCAAGGACACGACGAGCAGGGCAAACCCCGTCTCCTCTCTCCGCCTAGCCCCGATGTTCCCGCGCCCCCGTCTTCTGGAAAGTCCGTCAGGTGGGGGCCGGCCTCGTCTGCCGGACGCCCTCGCCGACGACCACGCTGGCCTGGGCTGGGCGCCGGCGGACAGCGGAGCCGGCGCCGCGTCGCCCCGGGGGTCTCGGGCCGGGCCGCGCTCCGGCCGGGTCGGCGGGGAATGCCTGACTCACGGCTGGCGGCTCGCCCGCACTGCAGGGCAGGATTAGACGCCGGCGAAACATCATACACGGCCTGCCAGCGGCCCGGTGACACGGGCCCGATAGGGAGAGGCCGCGCTGCCGGAAGGTGCCGCTCCGCTGCTGGTGAGGTGTTCTCTGCCTCGGTTGGGTGACCTCCTGCCGCGGCTTGACGCTGCTCACGGTGGCAATTGGAGTTGTGTTGCCACCGGGGCCGGGCCTGCCGGACGGGTCGGCCGGGTGAGGTGAGGTGAGCTGTGAGGTGAGGTGAGGTGAGGTGAGGTGAGAGGCCAGGTGAGGTGAGGTGGTCAGGTTGTTCTGTGGACGGTATCGCGCCAGCCTCTGGTGCTGGAGGCCCGTGCTGAGCACCGGGTCAAGGCGCCTCCACATGAGGTGACGGGACAGGCTGGGGATCCCCCGGTTGAGTAGAGGTGGCCGGCACCGCGGACAAACCCGAACACCGCGGCAACCGGCGCTGGCTCGCCGGCAAGTACAGGCCGGTGCCAGCCCAAGCCAGGTCACAGTGTCAGACGATACTCTGGCATGACCCGACCCATCAGCTGTGTATCTTGCGGCCAGGGCAGGCAGGGTGACAAGCTGAGCGCGGAACGACTGGGGCGCGTGCCGTCGCCGCCCTACCCGGCCGCCCCGACCGACGCGGCCCGCGCCGCCAGCTGGGTCAGGTGTCCCGGCCGGCGGCCGGCGACGGCGCAGGGGTGTCCGACCCGGCGCCGGCGCCGGCGTCGGCGCCCGGTCGGCGCCCCCTGGCGGCGCGCGGTCAGCGTGTTGCACCGCCGGCGAGCGGCCGGCCGCGCTGCCAGCGGCGGACAATGGCAGCGCGCGCCGACGTGCTGTTTGCAGGCTCGCCGAGCCGACGGCCGGCCGGCCGGCGCCGGGATGTCCCGACGGCTGGACGCCTCGATGTCTCGGTGGCTCGACGGCTCGATGCCTCGACGACGGCTCGATGCCTCGACGGTGCGAAAGCTCGACGCCTGGTCGGCTGGCGGCGTCGGCCAGCGCCCCGCGGCGCCCGGCGGCCGTGGACCGGCGTGTCATTGTGTAATGGCCGATTTGCGCCGGTCGCCTCCGGTCGGCGTGCTGTAATGGGCGGTGCACAGCCTGATGTAATGGGCGGTGCACAGCGTGATGAAGACACGATAGCTGGCGGAGGCAGTGACGTTGACTTTTGATCTGTGTGGTGGGGCGCCTCAGTTCGTGCTGTGCGGTGGAGGCTTGGCGATGCCGTTGTGGCTGTCAGCCTCTGCCCTGTGGTCTGTGGCCGGCTTGTGTTGTGTGTCTCAGGGTGATGTCTGCTGTCATGATCGTGACGTTTTGATGTTGTGGCGCCGTGACGTCACCCTCGCTCCAAGTCAGGACGGTCATCCGGGTCACCCCATAACAGTGCTACCCTGCCCTCCCCGTAGTCCGCCTCTGCTGTGGCCGTATGTGACGCTGTCGGCCCGTCACCATGAGGGAAGTTCACCACATTTTCGAGTGGGCATGTGTCGTCTTTAACTTTAACTTTTGCAACCTATACTCGTTTGCAGCTTATGCTTAGGGTATGGAAGTTTTGCGCGCAGAATTTACTTAAGATGTCAAACTTGTGTGTACGCTAAGAGATTTTCAGAAAGTTGTCACGTGCTGCCAGCTACCGGGTACTCCAGCCGCCGCCCCCAGCAGCTGACGCCAGTCTCTGACTCGCGCCGTCTGTTGCAGGGAGCGGGAGGGACCGGTGTTGCTGGCCGCGGCCGGCGCCGACGCCAGCTGACCTGGCCAGGTCACCCGGCCACGGGCCGGGCCGGCCGGCGCGGCCCGCCGGCGCCGGGTCAGAGGTCAGGGGGTGCAGCGGCACCCCCGGCCGGGGCGCCGCAGGCCCGCCGCGCCGCCGGCCGCGCCGCCCGCCCGCCCTCCACGTAGTGCTCTTGCTGCTGCTGTCGTCGCTCTTTAGGATAGCAGGTGAGTGGCGGCGACGCCGCGCAGCTGGCGCTGGCGCTGGCGCTGGTGCTGGCTCTGGAGCTGGTGCTGGCGCTGGTGCTGGTGCTGGTGCTGGTGCTTGCGCTGGCGCTGGTGCTGGCGCTGACACTCGAGCGCGCCTGATGCGGGCAGACGCCGGACGATCCGGCTGTCGCGGGATGAAGGTCACTTGTTTCGTTCTGAGCGCGCGGGCTGCGGCGCAACTGCCTCAACAATTTTTGCAATAAGCTGCCTCAGGCTTAGGCCGGATTTAAACGCTCCGACCCTAACGGGGGGCGAGGGGGCGAGGCCCGGCCATGGTCGCGCCGACCGCACCTGGTCCGAGGCGTGGCCAGCCGGGCCATGCTGGCCGGCCCGGTCACAGATCAGCGGACTCCGTGCCGCGGGAACGGGCCAAGGTCCGCCAGAACGCGCTGCCAGGCGCTCCAGAGCCGCGTCCGCTCCCTGCGGAAGCCGATCAGCCGGCGGCCAGAAGCCGGCCGCCGTCGTGTTGGCTGTGAAAGTCGCTTGGCGGCTGCCGTGCGCGCCGTCGGCTGGTTCGGCGCCGCTGCCGCGCGTCGCCGCCGCGCCGGTGGCGAGTGGTGGCGCTCGGCGTGGCCGCGGTCGGCCGCCCCAGCGCGGCAAAATCGGCCAATCTCGCTAAAAGTCCGAGCGGTCTGGGCGCCGACGGGCGTCCGTTTTATGGCCCGTGTGCACCGTGTGCCAGGTGCGCTGCAGACGCCTCGCGACGGGGGCAGCTGGCGGCGTAGCGGTCGCGCCGGCAGATCGGGTATCGCACGAGTAATGCGACGGCAGCGCGCGCTTCATTTCGGCGGCGCGCGACTGTGCAGCGGATTGCCGTAGATTTACGGTGCCCGAGGCGGAGCTAAACCCCGTGCTTAATCCGTTAAAAGCATTGTGGGTGGTTCGGCCGCTGAGCCGTGGGCGGGTGCATGGGGGCTGCTGCCACCGGCCCAGGCGGGCGCTGATGGATGTCTTTCTCAGAAGCTTCTGTGCTAGCCGCGATTACGCCTGCTGTGTCGTCTCCTCGCTGTGGCGCAGTCGGCCCCGGCGTGTTGCGCCGAGGTCCTCCCGCTGCGCGGCGGTGTGTGCCGGCCCGCTGGCCGACGCGCGCGTGGGCGGCGCCGGCGCCGGTCGGCGCTCTGACCCGCGATAGGACTGTTGGTTTAGCGCGCTCTGATTGCCTATCGGCGCGACTGCGAACGCGGCCGCCCCCCCCCCCCCCCTCGGCGATTGACAGACGGGCGCCGTCTCGTGCCCCCCGTCCCCCCCCCCCGCCTGGGGGGTCTCAAACGGCGCGACGGTGGTGTTTCTCCCGCAGGACTGGGGCTCTGGTTTGATATGATGAGCGTCCTTCCAGTGCGCTCATAACGGAACAATGATAATCGGCGGCAGGGGAGGTTGGCGACAAATCCGCGTCCTCATCCGCCTCCTCATCCTCGTCCGCCTCCATGTCCTCGTCCGCCTCGTTTCAACCCCGCAGTGCCGGAGGGCGTTTGTCGTAGCCGCCGTCGGCACCTCGCGGCGCGGTCTCCCCACTGTGCGCCGCCGGCCGTCGCACGGCCCGGGGACACGCCCTTTCCAGCATCAGAATGCGTCGTGCGGCGCGGTGGCGCCGGCGCTCCCACGGGTGCCGGTCTGCGCCGGCGCGGGGTGAGGCGCTTCCCAGCGCCGCGATGTAGGCCGCGCGCTGTGAGATAGCGCGCCGCCCGCTCCCACGCTGAGAAAACGGCCGGCGACGGCGGTCCGAAAGCGCCGACACGTGCCAAAGGAGTCCAGGCACCGGCGGCGCGGCGATCGCCGGCTTTTACCGAAAACGCGCCGACCGGCGGGGAGGGCGGAGGGGCGCGGGCGTGTGCAGGATTTCGTGGTTGAGAGTGCGCGGTTTCGGTTTTCTCGGCGCGTTTCGCCGTTTGAAATGGTGAAAACGTGTTTTCGGCGTTGCATTAGCATGCAATTTTGTCTCGGAAGTTAACGATGAAGTTGCGATGTAATAACACTACTCATGTAGTAGATTCCATTCATTTCCTTGCATGCAGTAGATTTCATAACGGGCACCACGTCCCCCGAAGCTCCATACATTCGTGTGCGGAGGGGACCGTGTAAGATGTGCTGAAGGGATCGCGCATCCTTGAAGCCTGTATTCTCAAAGACAAGAAGGTTTCTGGAGCCTGCGCTCTTGTTGCGCATCCGAAGCGCCCGGAAGCCATGCTCCCCCCCCCCCCCTCCCCTATGTTGAAGAAGAGCGAATGTTTTGTGTTGTGGTGAGGAGCGAGAAAATGCGCCTGTCACGTTCGTTGTCGCCCTGTTGAAGCCCGCTTGCGCCGTTTTTTCACTGGGGTCAAGACGATCACTCGGAGCCGATGCGGATCAATTGAAGGCCGGCGACGCCTGCTGACCAGGCGGTTGAGACGAAATCGGTGCGCGGCGTTTGAGACGAAATCGGCGCGGCAGGGCCGACAGCTCCGTGTTTGCGTCGCACGCTATCGACCGCCGCTGTCGGATAAGGTGACGCGGCGCCCGCTCCCTGCTGTTGCGTCACTGGCCGGCGACCGGCCCCGGCACCGGTACGACCCGCGACGGAGACGTCGCACGTCGCGTCGGGCCGTGCCGGGTCGCCCAGGCCGAGCGTGCCGGCTGGAAAAAACGTCCGCCGCCTCGCCGGACCACCCAGCCGTCGTCCCGCCGCGATTAGCAAGTCGAATGGTGCCGCGACGGGCGGCCTCGCTGCGCGCTGCTAGACCTCGGCGAGGCGTTTGATCGCATCGGGAGGCGTTTGGTTTCATCACGGCCGGGATTGCCGCGCTAATAGCAAGTGGTGGCGGCGCAGAGGGTGTCGCTCGGGCTCCCCGGTGCTGCCCGCGTGCCCTTGTTCCGCACGCGTCGTATTTGTGCCGGCGCGGCGGCTGGTGGCGCGGTGGCACGCAGGGTTGCCACCTGTGTCCGGTGTAATTTGTCGGCCGCGCGCGCCGGCTCCCATTGAACAAACGATCGATTTTCAAATTTCACCTGGCGCCCGAGCATCTGCCGCCGCCGTCCGTAGTGGTCAGAGTCGCGGCGCGCGCGGCCGGCGAATGACCTCTGCGGACGGTGGCCCGGCGCGACCTCCGCCGCAGAGGATGCTGGGAACAAACGGGACGCGACTTTGATGGCGCCGCTCCGACTCGTTCGTTAACTGCCGCGGCGGCGGCGGCCGGCGCTCGACGGTGGTGATCGCAAGTGCGGGCGCGCTCATAAGGGCCCGGTACCGATCATGATCCGACCCGGCCGCTCGCTAATTATCTTGTTAGAGGAGGCAACTGCGCGCGCGGATCTGGCCGCCGGGCGGGCAGCCGAGCCCTCGGCGGTCGGTCGGACGTCTCCCCGCGCACCGCCCGCGGTGCGACGGTAAATAAACGCGGCGACGGGGTCTGTTTTTGCCGAGATTTTCCTGCCCGACCGCGCGCGCCGTCACAGGCAGCAGGCGGCTTTATTGCCGTTTCCCAGCATTTTGGAGGCGTTTATCTGGTGCGCATTGTTATTATCCTAGTTGTTCGGCGCACGCGCCACTAGGCCGACCGGCAGGTGCACCGACGTCGCCTTAATTTGTCCGCTAACCGATCCAACGCGCCCGGCGGCTGAGCCGACAGCGCCCATTGGCCGACCGCCTGTAAGCCGGCCGCTGATTGGCCAAGATGCCGGCAGCGTTTAGCGGGTCACGCGCCGCTGGCGCGCGCGGCCCGTCTTCGGCGGCGGCGGCGGCGCGCGCGTGCCGGTAACCATGGCGACGCGCGCGCGCTCGTGCGCCGCGGGTTGAAGGAACTCGTGCCGTCTTGCGGCGGCGGCGGCGACGGCGACGGGCGAGGGGAGGGGACCGATAATGGGCGCACGTATCGCCTTCAGGCCCGGCTGGACGCGCCGCGCCGGTCCACCGGGTGCAGGTGGAACAACAGGCGCGGACAATAGCCGGCCGCCGCCGGCGAAACTCACTAGCGCCAGCAAGGTCGCGGTGCGCGCCGGCCGCCGTCGCCCGCGGCGCGCACATTGGTCACGCCGCCTCGTGTTTGCGCGCGGCTGGACGGCGCCGCGTCCCCCTCCCCCTCCCCGTGACGCTCTGGCGGCGGATGACACGGTGCCGCGTTTCGATGCGCCGGCTCGGCCCAGGCAAAACAAGGCCTCCTGTGTTTTGTCGGCGTGTTTGGACGGCTGTCCGGCGGCGCGGCGGGCGGCCGCGCTGTCCCCGCCGACGCCCGACGCCCGGCGGCCGGCCAGCGCCGCGAGCGCCGCCGGTGCGCCGCTTTGTGTCGCGGCACCTGCCGTCGCGCCGTCTGCGGTCGACGTGCGTCACCGTCTCGGGACGGTGTGAGGGACGGCGGCCGGCGCCGCGGCCTCGGCCCGCCGGCGGCGTCCTGAGAGGGATCGGCGCCGAGCTCGGGAGGAAGCTGAGGAGAGGCGCGACACCCGTCCGGCATTCTCTGCGCGGGAGTGAGCGGACGCGCGTAAAAACGGCGTCGCCGGTGGCGGCGCGGCGCGAGGGGAGGAGAGGCCGCCGCCGCCGGTAAAAACGCCGCCTCGGAGGCCGGCCGTGGGGCAGTGACCTGGAATCGGCGTGGTGGGTCCGCCGGGCAGCGCGGCAGACCGGCGGGCGCGTCCGGCCGCGCGGCCGCTGATCGGGGGGCTCCGTCGATGCGGCCGATCCGCAATAAAAATACGCCGCCCCCGCCTGCGCCCCTCCCCCCCCCCCCCCCACCCCGTCCCCAGGAGGCGCCCTTCATGTCAGCGGAGACGGCGGCCGGCCGGCGGACGGCGCGAGAGGGAGAAGAGGGGGGGGGGGAGGAGGGCACGCGCCCGACGCGCCGGCGCAGGTGCAGCCGCGCGCAACACTTGATCCGCGCCGCCACCGAGGATGTGTGTCGACCGGCGCGCACGTGCGGCCGCGTCGCCATGGCAACGCGGCCGCGTCGCCCGCAGAAGGCGACGGAGGGTTTAAACGGGGCCGGCGG